GGTCCGTTCGCCGCGATCTTCGTACGACGGTGGTTGCCCGGCAGAGACGATTCCGATGGTGTGGTCGGCGGTCGATTCTGGAACTCCGGCGATGGCGGCAGCGGCGACGGCAGCGACAGCGGCAGTGATGGGTGCCGGAGACCGTGGAGTTGACTGGAACTATTCCTGTGCTCTAGATACCATATGAGAAATAGAGAAGATTGGGAGAAAAGATCCCTTGTGTGTTTTGCATACACATAGGGTAATTTATTTATATGGTAAGATATGGGCCAATGCCCTTAATACATAATAGACTAAGCCCAAATAACAGAAACACACATCTTAACATCTAACATCCTCTATTTGTAATAATCTAATTCTCCTAAAAAGGGAAATAGGGAAACTAGAAAAACAAAATAAAATAAAAGATTATGTATCTATTTCTTCTAATTAGGAAGATTCTAAAGATATTTTCTCTAATTACACCAATTCTTACCATCTCTATTTGTAATAGCCAAAACTTCTAGAAAAAGTAATAAATATATGCTGAAATAAATAAGAAGTTTCTGAATATAATTTTTCCTAATTACTATGGAGATATTTAGAATATCTTTTATGCAAATAATCTGCACTGGACAACACATGGGCAGACAGCTTCTAATTTTTTGTGGGCCGTTCATCCCATTATGACATTGCTTGAGTACTGAGTTTATTCATCCACTTGTGGATCTTGTTATATGACCATCACTCCTTTGTACAATATATACAGTTCAATCCAAAACCAGTAGAATAGACCCCCTCTACCAGGATATATTATAACTAACTATTCATTTCAGTTTTTTTACGTGAGATGTGCTTCTTTATGTTGTCAGTCATTTTGTTGTGCTTCTATCTGACGGTTCCTGATGGAAATCCTACATCAATTAGAGATAAGATCAATTTATATATAAGTAGGTACAAACCTTAATTTGCAAGCTGATTTTGTGAGATTGAGTTAGGCTTAAAGTTCACTTCTTAACATGGTATTAAAGTCATTGTTAGAGCCCATTCTAGTGAGATTTGTTATTTGTTGGACATATTGTTCCACCCGCTATCAGACCTATATCGGATCACCCATTAATGTTTAATCTCACGCTCAAGATGTGTGTACCTGAGCGTGAGGGAGTGTGTTGAAAGTCCCACATTGATTAGAAATAAAGTTAATTTATAGTATATAAGTAAGTGCAAACCTTATTTTACAAACCGGTTTTATGGGATTGAGTTAGACTTAAAGTTTATTTCATACATTCAGATTATCTAGCTCTATTTAATATATAGTGGTTGTAACTGTCAATTATTTGTGAAATACAGTTGGATGCATCTGGTAGACCAGATGAAAGTCTTGCAGTTGAGTTTGTTGGGCCACTACAGCCCAGTAGTGAAGATGGTCTGCAAAGTGGGAAATTGTTGTCCATTTCCCTTCAGAAAGGGCAATTGAGGGCTAACATTTGTTTCCAACCATTTCATTCTGCCAACTTGGAGGTAACTAAATTTAAATTTCAGGAGTGCTGTTTGATTCTAGATCTGTTTGTTTGTCTGCTTGAAAGATTTAGTTCACTTAGTAATTAGACCAAAAGTTGGTATTGAAACTTTTGCTTGAATTTTTTCAAATTAGCTGGAGCTGACTTGTAGGTACGGCATTTTCCACTTGATGAATTGGAGCTTGCTTCTCTTAGGGGAACCATACAGAGGGTAAGTCATCATACCAGCATGTTTGGATTTATTTTTCAGCATCTTCCTTGCTCTTTGTTGTACTTCTATTTGACATATCTGGATCCTTTCAAATTTGATCCAATTATACCAGGGAGAGTATCTGCGTGAACAATCTATCCTGACATTTGAACCCTGATTCCAATTTTAGAGAAACAAATTCTGTTAATGAAAAAAATGGCATATGATTATTGATTTTAGTTATTGTTTGGTTTATCATTTACCATACCTGAACAAGGGTTGTCCATGATTTCCAACTTTGGTTAATTTTTCATAAATTGAGACTATGTTTGCGAAGATTTCCGAAATTGTTATTCTTCTATGCTTTTTGTTGTGTCTCATTCTTAGAATTTGGAATTGAGACCTAACTTGATTCTACATAGTATAGTAGTTGATAGGAACTTGGGTATTTTGAGATAACTAAGTCCAAAATCAAGTAGTATGAGGTATTATTCCTTCATCTGTCATCCCAAGTTTTTTTCCAGTTCTACTTGAATGATAACTTGCATGAGGTATTATTTAATGGTCATGTCACAGAAACAAGTTTGAATTGTCTGCTTCTTTGATATCAGGCAGAAATTCAGCTTAATCTTCAAAAGAGAAGAGGACATGGAGTCCTGTCTGTACTTCGGCCAAAATTCAGTGGTGTGCTTGGTGAAGCCCTAGATGTGGCAGCTAGGTGGAGTGGAGACGTTGTGAGTGCGCTAAACCATCTTCGTATATGTTTGCACATAAATTTCGGTTACATGCTAGTTTCCTTATTGCTGTCTGGGTAAAATAAAATCGTATCATATCTGGGTAATGCTCATTACTTTGGTTCTGTTAGTTTATGTTCATTTTTTTAATTTAAATATGACTTACACAAAGTTAAATCTAAAGTAGTATCTCTTTATGCTTTCCCTTGGTGATTGTCAGTAATAGATCAATATCCTTTTAACATAAAAAATACAGGTTTTCAGTTGATTATCTGATTAAAATGTGTATAGGCAATGTGTTGAGTGAGGGCTATTTTTATGAGAGCGTGATGAACAAATTTCAACCACATATTCACCATCCATCAATGAGGATTAAAAAGTTACTTAATTGTTGCATGACCACAAAAAAGTCATATGATTAATGTAACTCACTTCGTCCCTTACTATATAAGAAATAAGAAATACATTAGAGTGACAGGATATGATAAGTGAAAAGATAACACCACCATATCATGTTGCTACAAACAAAATTACCGATCACATTTAGGATAGTTATCCTATCCTATTCTATCATATCATGTCCAGCAATTGGAGTCTAAAGATTTTATTTTGTTTACCTTAGAATTCAAAGAGCATCATCTATTGAATTCAATACTCATTCTTTTTTGTAATACTGATCCCCCAATTGGTGCATTATTATTCAGATCACTATTGAAAAAACTGTTTTGCAACAAAACTACAGTTATTATGAACTTCAAGGTGAATATGTGTTGCCTGGTACCCGAGATCGTAGTTCTGTTGACAGAGAAGGTGGCCTTATAAAAAGGTTAATGTCTGGTCATATTGGCAATGCTATATCCTCTATGGGCAGGTGGAGAATGAAACTTGAAGTTCCTAGAGCAGAGGTTGCCGAGATGCTTCCCCTTGCAAGGCTTCTTTCTCGAAGTTTGGATCCTGCTGTTCGTTCAAGATCTAAGGTTGCATCACTATCATTATTTATGCATTGGAAGTTACATATATTCATTATCAACCCTCTAAATATAGCATATTAATATGCTTTGCTAATGCCATAATTTTGGCAACTTATGGAAATGTATATCGTATATCTAGATTTTGTGTCTAGGCCTTTTTTTAGTTGTGTAAATATATTAATTTTGAATTTATTGTGCTCACTACATATGTAAATAAATATATCAAATTCATGATTTTCATTCTGCATATAGTTTACTACACGTGCTTGTTTATTTTCTCTCTGCCTATTGGCTTGCACATAAAGAGAGGAAAATCAAAACCAGGCATGGCTGATGGACCCATTGTTGACTTTTATTGTGGAAAAATAAGACTCATTTATTATTCTCAATCATAAAAAATACATTCTGATACTTTCTATTTGTAATAATCTAATTCTCCTAAAAAGGGAAATAGGGAAACTAGGAAAGTAAAATAAAGGGAAATAGGGAAACTAGGAAAGTAAAATAAAGGGAAACAGGGAAACTAGGAAAGTAAAATAAAGGGAAATTGGGAAACTTGGAAAATAAAAAAAAATTAAACATTATATATCTATTTCCTCTAATTAGGAAGATTCTAAAGATATTATCTCAAATTACAACACTCCCCCTCAAGCTGGATCATACAAGATTGTATGAACCAAGCTTGGAATAGTCAAACTCAATTGTAGAGAACGCCAATAAACCAAATTGGACAACAATGGACAAGGGCGAACTAGCACCATGAAACTTCAACTTGGACAGCAATGGACGAGGGCGAACTAGCACCATGAAACTTCAACTTGGACAGCAATGGACGAGGGAGATTTCCATCAAAAATGAATGATGACTTGCAGCAGCAAACAACAACAAACTACAAGAACAGATGAAGGGCCTCCAGCGGCGAACAACAAACTGTAGGGACTGGATTGCCATCAATAGTGGCAAACAACAACAAAACTTCAAGAACATGATTTCCATGAGTAACATATGGAGGCCTTCAAAACAATCACAAACCTGTAGGGACTTAACTACCATAAACAACAACAAACCTTCAGGGACTTAACTGTCCTAAATAGCAACAGACCTGCAAGGATTACACTACCCTGCAGCGGCACTAAAAGGCTAACTTAACAGCCACAAACCTGTAGGGACTTTAACCACCTTGAACAACAACAAACCTTAAGGGACTTAACTGCCCTAACAACAACGAACCTTTAGGGACTTAACTGCCCTGAACATCAACAAACCTTCAGGAACTGAACTGTCTGCAGTGGCTAACAGCAGCAAACCTATAGGGACTTAACCACCTTACAGCAGTTGAAACAACAACAAACCTTCAGGGACTAACTACCCTGTGGAGGCTGAAACTTTTCTTCCCCTCACGACTAAACGACATATGCACGTCAATGACAGAACGTGAAGGTGGAAGAACTGGTGAGAACCGATCCGTACTTGGGGACAAATCTGAAACCCCTAACATCGAACGAGCCAAATTAGTGGTCTGTCTCATAGAACAACTCTCAGTGAGCTGTTACAACAAGGCATTAGAACAACTCTCAGTGAGCTGATACAACAAGACATTGGCAGAAACCAAAAACACCAAAGATTGGGACTTATGATGGCATCAAAAGGCCAAAGACAGGGTGGAGGTCCAAAGTTCTCTGCAGGACTACTCCTAAATGCTTAGCTTTGTATCACACATGGACATACTAAACTTGAGCCCAAGAAGGAGGGTGCATGGATTCCAACTCCTCCAAGTTGGATTAGAGGCGGAACACCCAAAGATTAAAAGACTGTTCAAGGGTTGTAGAGAGATTGACACTAGCTCGCAAAGCGGCGAGACTCCTGTTTGTGGCGGCAGCGACTGACTGCAGCAGCAGTTGACTGTGCCGGCACCGACCGTGGCATCAACGGCATCAAAGCAGCGGAGACGACGGCAAGAAGCACCAATCAGTGCTGCACAAGAAAGGGAAGAAAAGGCAAGAACAACAACATAGCACGGCGCGAGGCGAAACCCATTGGTGGAGGCAGAGAGCCCTTCGCAATGGAGAAGAAAGAAGTGACGAAGTGACGTCAAAAGCGGACTAGGCATCGAAAGAGGTCTCCCTGGTCATTAAACGTGAGGCGAAACCCATTGGTGGGGGCAGAAACTAAAACGCAGTAACGAGATGGAGGACCGACGATGCAGAAGCGTGCGGTCAAGAAGACGAAGATGCTATGAAGATAATGAAGATGGCAGCAATGGCTGCTCTGGAGGGTTAGAGCATAGAGATGAAGGTCTGGCAAGACGACCGGCAGCGGCGCTGTGTGATTTCGACACCGAGACGACGGTGCGTGACAAACACGCACCCGAGACCAGCTGAAGAAAGGCGGCGCGTGGAGGTGCGTTGCGAGGAGTCTGGTTCTGACTCTGGCGGGGTGGACTGTCGCTCGAGGAGACGATCCAGATCTGCTGGTCACCGTTGAAACTGTGACAGTGGCCGGCGACGGACAGTGGCTGGCGGCGGACAATGGCCGGAGGCGGATGGAGGACGAAAGTGGTGCACAACGTAATTATCAATGAAGGCAATGGCCTTTCATGGTTCCCTGAAGAAGAGACTTTCACTCTTTGATTGGCAGGCAATGAGAATGCCAAAAAAGATTGGGCATCACTTAAATTACCCATTATGAGATAAATTCTGGAAGTATAGCATATAGCTAGATCAAATTAAAATCTGGAAGTATAGCTTATAGCTAGGTCAGATTTTAACTGGAAGTATAGCTTATAGCTAGGCCAGATTATGGAAGCACAACACAACTTTGTGGAGCTGTTATCAGAAAAAAAAAAAAACAAATGTATTTGGTAATATTGGAGACAAAGCTAGAATTCTAAGGTAGAACTTGACTAAGGCAATTGGAGCCCATTAAAAACATATGTTAAAGAGGAGACTTTTAGGGGGCCGGCCGCCGGTAGACAGCAAAGACAGCGGAGGCGGATTAGACAAGCTCTGATACCATGTGGAAAAATAAGACTGATTTATTATTCTCAATCATAAAAAATACATTCTGATACTTTCTATTTGTAATAATCTAATTCTCCTAAAAAGGGAAATAGGGAAACTAGGAAAGTAAAATAAAGGGAAATAGGTAAACTAGGAAAGTAAAATAAAATAAAGATTATATATCTATTTCCTCTCACTAGGCAGATTCTAAAGATATTATCTCAAATTACAACATTTACCAACTACTTTGTTGACCTCTATGATGTATCCGTTTCCTGTGCATAGTCTTAGAAATTAGGATAGAATAAATTGATTTCACACATACAATGCTGGAAAGCTAATTTAGGGAATACAATAACAACACTAATTTAATCAAATCCCTATGATTCAGGATATTTTCCTTTTTCATTTTAATTGTAATTTGCTAAATAAGGAAATAATAATTGCAGTTGCTTCGAGAAAACTACCTCTGCCCACTGTCAATACCTTTGTTTTCTTGGTCATTCACTAGAGACCCAGCCACTGTGCCACACAACAAGCTCTAGTGTATCATTGTTACTGTTGCACATGGTAGTGGATCTGGCTGCTAGCTTTACTACTCTCACCTTTATATCCCCTCTTCAGATGTGGCCTCACCTCCATTGTGCCTTGAGTTTTTCAACGCATTTGCTCAGAACCATTGCAGTTACCTTGAGGCATTAACCTTTTGGATTTTGTGAGCTAAAACATGGCTTTTTGAGATCCAGATATGTTAGGTTTCTGTAATTGGAAACCTAATTCTCTCCTCTCTCAATTCACAACAGCAATACCAAAACAGAAGAATGAATCGTATTTCTTTATTTGCACACTAACAATGTCAAGAATCAATGTACACTTATGGGTAAATGCGGGAGACTAATCCCCCTCCTTAGTCTTATGTCCTGAGTATACAAGTAAACTATTCACACCTTAACCAACTAACAATTATTCTATTTATAATGTGTTCTTCCCTCCAACTAACTGTTATTACAGTTATGCTTCCTAACCAAATACAACCCCCTTTTTCCCCCTTATCCCACTCTATTCTTCTTTCTTCTTTCATATACTTTCCAGCCCCTATCATTGTCCTCCGCCTAAAAATTAACCTTGTCCTCAGGGTTAAATTCTTGAAATTGATCTTGTATTGCCACCGAGTCTTCCCAAGTAGCCCCATCAGCTCCACCCTCCTACCACTCAACCAATATCTGTTCCACTAAATTCTCGCCCTGTTGCTTCTGTCTCCTGCCCAACACATGCTTCGGCCAAAATGAGGGCCCTTCTGCCTGCAAGCCCTCGGGTAACTCCTTTTCCACCTTCTTTGTTCCCACAACCAATTTTAACTGCGATACATGAAACACAGGGTGGATTCGTGCTGTATCTGGTAATAACAGCTTGAAAGCCACCTTTCCCACTTGTTGCACCACCTTAAAAGGTTCAAAATACCTGGCCGAAAGCTTAGGGTGTAACCTCACTGGCATGGAGGATTGCCTATGGGGTTTAATCTTCAAGTAGACCCAGTCATCAACCTTGATCTCTGCTGGCTTTCTCTTGTGGTTAGCATGCTTGGCCATTAAATCTTGAGCTCTCATCAAATGAAATCTGAGCTGCTACAATGCCTCATCCCTGGTTTGCAATTCCTGCACCACAACTTCCACCAAAGTTTCTCCTGGAATGAACCTTGTCAATGTTGGGGGAGCTCGTCCATATACAATCTCATAGGGTGTACACCTAGCTGCCCCTTGATAACTGGTGTTGTACCAATATTCGGCCCAAGGAAGAACGGAACACCAGCTCCTGGGCTGCTCTGAACATAAACATCTTAAGTATCCTTCTAACACCCTGTTTAAAACCTCCGTTTGGCCATCTGACTCTGGATGATATGTTGACTCATTTGGAGTTAGGTGCCTTGTATTTTGAACAACTCCTTCCAGAACAAGCTCAAAAATAGGGGATCCTTGTCACTCACTATCGTCATCGGTATGCCATGTAACCTCACCACTTCCTTCACGAAGATTTCTGCCATTGTGCGAGCCGTGTAGGGGTGTTTCAAGGGAATAAAGTGCCCGTACTTACTCAATCGATCTATCACAACCAACACAGCGTCATAGCCCTACGATTTGGGAAGCTTTACTATGAAATCCATACTAATCTCTTCCCAAATTGCTTGGGGAATTGGTAAGAGCTGCAACAACCCTTGAGGTGAGGAGGCCAGATATTTGTGTTGCTGGCAAATTGGACATTGGGCCACGAAATCTGTAACCACCTTCTTCATCCCTACCCAGTATAATGACTGGGGCACCCTGCGGTATGTGTGGTATACTCCCGAATGACCCCAGTAGCAGTAGTATGGAACTCAGCTAATATCTTAGGTATCCATGCTGACTTGGCTGAAATAACCAATCTACCCTTGTAGTGGAGCCTGCCTCTTTCCAGGGTATAAGCTGAATTAGACTCAGAATCCTCATTCAATTTCTCCACTATCTTCCTCAATTGATCGTCCTCCTCTACCTCCCCCAAAACCTCCTGAAAATCCTGCTAATAGGGCCGAGCCACTATCCTCAACTCCTCCTCCTCTGCTTCTTCCCTTTTTCTGGATAGTGCGTCTGCCACCCGGTTTGTCGCCCCTGCCTTATACATTATTTCGAAATCATACCCAAGGTGTTTAGCTATCCAATTCTGTTGATTTTGCATAGTAATCCTTTGCTCCAGTAGATATCTCAGACTCCTCTGGTCTGTATGCACCACAAACTTCTGTCCAAGGAGATAGGGTCTCCAATGCTGGATAGCTAATACCAAGGCCATGAGCTCCTTCTCATAAATGGACCTGCTCAGTGTTCCCTCTGATAACGCCTTGCTAAAGAATGCAATGGGCCTCTTGTTCTGGGTGAGAACAGCCCCCTCCTCCACCAGAGGCATCACACTCAATATGAAACTGCTGGGTGAAATCAGGCAAGGCCAAAACTGGTGCAGTAGTCACTGCTATCTTCAACTGCTCCAGTGCAACAGACCTTTTAACTCTCTTTACGTACACTCAATTAATCTTGGGCCTAGGGGCTACATCATTCTGACCTCAAATCATGTAGAGAATGTTTTTAGCTAGTCTGGTTCCTTTACTGTCTCCTTCACCGAAATTTACTATTCATCTGTATATTCTGTTTCTTCTCTTAAGGAAAACTGATTATGCATGTTTCTACATTGTGTATGCAGGATTTCTTCATTCAAAATTTGCAGTCAGTGGGATTATACACTGAAAGCCTTCAACAACTGCTTGAGGTATTATCAAAAGATTGCCATATGTTGTTTTCCTTTCTAGAGATGCAATATTTGAGTCCTGATTTTGCCATGTCTTTTGAATTATTATTTATTGATAATATAATTAGTCGAATAAAATTTATTGAACAAGTTAATTTTTCTGGCTATTTTCAATGATATACACGACATTCAGACAGTGAGGGGGCTTCATGCTCCATCAAATGATGTCGTTCTTGAAGATTTAAGTCTGCCTGGTTTATCTGAACTCAAAGGTCACTGGCATGGATCTCTTGATGCCAGCGGTGGGGGAAATGGAGATACCCTGGTAAAATGTTCAGTTTTTTTGTATTCTTCTAGTAGTATAAATAGTGTATTTTGAATATTAACAGTCTTATTCTTTTATTTCAGGCAGAATTTGATTTTCATGGAGAGGATTGGGAGTGGGGAGACTACAAAACTCAGCGTGTGTTGGCAGTGGGTGCTTACAGTAATGATGACGGCATGCACCTGGAGAAAATTCTTATCCAGAAGGATAATGCCACCATCCATGCAGATGGAACATTGCTAGGGCCTAAAACCAACCTCCATTTTGCAGTCTTGAATTTTCCTGTTAGTCTTGTTCCAACTGTAGTTCAGATCATTGAATCTACAGCAATGGATGTTGTTCATTCTCTACGGCAGTTATTGGCACCCATTAAGGGTATATTGCACATGGAAGGAGATCTTAGAGGAAGTTTAGCAAAACCAGAATGTGATGTGCAAGTAAGACTACTTGATGGTTCTGTTGGTGGTGTTGATCTTGGAAGAGCTGAAGTTGTTGCCTCTCTAACCTCAACCAGTCGTTTTCTTTTCAATGCCAAATTTGAACCTATAACCCAAAATGGGCATGTACTTGTTCAGGGTAGTATTCCTGTTGCGTTTGTACAAAATAACACATTACAGGAAGATGTAGAATTAGATAAGAATCAGATTACTTGGATTCCTGATTGGGTGAAGGAGAAAAATAGAGGGAACGCTGATGATGCTGGTGACAAGAAGGTTAGTAGAGATAGAAATGAAGAAAGTTGGAATACTCAACTAGCAGAAAGCCTTAAAGGACTAAATTGGCAAATTTTGGATGTTGGAGAAGTCAGGATTGATGCTGATATAAAAGACGGGGGAATGACATTGGTTACAGCTTTATCTCCACATGCCAATTGGCTTCATGGAAATGCGGATTTGAAGCTTGAGGTTGGTAAAATGAATATAATTTTTCCCAAATATTGATATTTACTTCTCTGAATCTTGTCACATGGCTTGACTTAATAGGTCAGAGGTACAGTTGATCAGCCGGTACTTAATGGACACGCATCATTCCACAGGGCATCTATTTCTTCACCAGTGCTACGAAAACCACTTACCAACTTTGGTGGAAATGTTCACGTGCAATCAAACAGGTTATGCATCACCTCACTTGAGAGTAGGGTAAGCAGAAAAGGAAAGCTTCTTGTAAAAGGGAATCTGCCACTCAGAGCAAGTGAAGCAGCCCCAGATGACAAGATTGAATTGAAGTGCGAAGTTTTAGAAGTACGGGCACAAAAAATATTAAGGTTACTTTCATACCTTCTTTGAATTTCTTAAGTTTACTTCTAGACTTGATAATGGATGCAGAGGGGCTCAAGTGACGACTAAATCATAAATATTATTGATTTTTTGAACTGCATCCTCCACCTCCGGCCTTGTTACATATAGTCTCTTTTTAACACAATGCTATTCATTTGACAGTGGTCAGGTTGATTCTCAGTTGCAAATAACTGGTTCAATATTGCAACCGAACATATCTGGGAACATAAAAATAAGTCAGGGAGAAGCATATTTGCCACATGATAAAGGTGGTACTCCTGCTTCTAATAGATTTCCGTCCAATCATTCTGGGCCTCCTACTGCTGGTGTCAGTCGTGTGTTTGCTTCAAGATATGTATCACGATTTCTCAACTCAGAATCTGCTTCTTCAAGGACGACAGTGTCTCAGTCCTCTGGCTCTGGTATTATTATACAGTTTAGCCTGAGTTTTTTCTAATCATTTGGTGATGAATGTTCTGAAATCAGAATGGATTCTCTTGTTATTAATTCAAACTGAGAGGGTCTTGCTTCCATTTCTATATCATTATATTTACCTTGTGAAGTGTGCCCCCACCCCAATGTTTGAAATGTATATATCTCATTGTGAGAGAGGGGGCGTTGGAAGTCCCACATTGACTAGATATAAGGTCAATTTATAGTATATAAGTGAATGCAAATCTCATCTTAAAAACCAGTTTTGTGGGGTTGATTTAAGCTTAAAGTCTACTTCTTAACACAGTAATGAAGGTTGCATTTTAGGACTTACATAGCAATGAAGGCTGTAAAAAAAATCACACAATTAGAGGCTCCCAAGGATCAAGAGGCATTTTAGGGCTTACATAGTGATGAAGGCTGTAAAAAAAATCACACAATTAGAAGCTCCCAAGGATCAAGAGCTCTAATATCTTCTGAAGTTTAAAAGAAAATAATTTCTTTCTTATTCGATCTCATTACATATGTCTAATATACATATACATACATTAATTGGATAAATTTGGAAATAAATGTTAAGAAGTAGACTTTAAGCCTAACTCAACCCCATAAAACCGGCTTGTAAGGTGAGATTTATTATAAATTAGTCTTATCTCTAGTCGATGTGAGACTTCCAACACATCCCCTCACGCCGAGGTAGACATCATCTTGAGCGTGAGACAAAATGGGTGGTCCGATAACGGCCCGATAGCGAGTGGAACAACATGTCCAACAAACAACAAATATCGCTAGGATAGGCTCTAACCATAGCTCTGATACCATGTTAAGGAGTTGACTTTAAGCCTAACTCAACCCCACAAAACCGGCTTCTAAGGTAAGGTTTGCACCCACTTATATATTATAAATTGGCCTTATCTCTAGNACCGAAATTTACTATTCATCTGTATATTCTGTTTCTTCTCTTAAGGAAAACTGATTATGCATGTTTCTACATTGTGTATGCAGGATTTCTTCATTCAAAATTTGCAGTCAGTGGGATTATACACTGAAAGCCTTCAACAACTGCTTGAGGTATTATCAAAAGATTGCCATATGTTGTTTTCCTTTCTAGAGATGCAATATTTGAGTCCTGATTTTGCCATGTCTTTTGAATTATTATTTATTGATAATATAATTAGTCGAATAAAATTTATTGAACAAGTTAATTTTTCTGGCTATTTTCAATGATATACACGACATTCAGACAGTGAGGGGGCTTCATGCTCCATCAAATGATGTCGTTCTTGAAGATTTAAGTCTGCCTGGTTTATCTGAACTCAAAGGTCACTGGCATGGATCTCTTGATGCCAGCGGTGGGGGAAATGGAGATACCCTGGTAAAATGTTCAGTTTTTTTGTATTCTTCTAGTAGTATAAATAGTGTATTTTGAATATTAACAGTCTTATTCTTTTATTTCAGGCAGAATTTGATTTTCATGGAGAGGATTGGGAGTGGGGAGACTACAAAACTCAGCGTGTGTTGGCAGTGGGTGCTTACAGTAATGATGACGGCATGCACCTGGAGAAAATTCTTATCCAGAAGGATAATGCCACCATCCATGCAGATGGAACATTGCTAGGGCCTAAAACCAACCTCCATTTTGCAGTCTTGAATTTTCCTGTTAGTCTTGTTCCAACTGTAGTTCAGATCATTGAATCTACAGCAATGGATGTTGTTCATTCTCTACGGCAGTTATTGGCACCCATTAAGGGTATATTGCACATGGAAGGAGATCTTAGAGGAAGTTTAGCAAAACCAGAATGTGATGTGCAAGTAAGACTACTTGATGGTTCTGTTGGTGGTGTTGATCTTGGAAGAGCTGAAGTTGTTGCCTCTCTAACCTCAACCAGTCGTTTTCTTTTCAATGCCAAATTTGAACCTATAACCCAAAATGGGCATGTACTTGTTCAGGGTAGTATTCCTGTTGCGTTTGTACAAAATAACACATTACAGGAAGATGTAGAATTAGATAAGAATCAGATTACTTGGATTCCTGATTGGGTGAAGGAGAAAAATAGAGGGAACGCTGATGATGCTGGTGACAAGAAGGTTAGTAGAGATAGAAATGAAGAAAGTTGGAATACTCAACTAGCAGAAAGCCTTAAAGGACTAAATTGGCAAATTTTGGATGTTGGAGAAGTCAGGATTGATGCTGATATAAAAGACGGGGGAATGACATTGGTTACAGCTTTATCTCCACATGCCAATTGGCTTCATGGAAATGCGGATTTGAAGCTTGAGGTTGGTAAAATGAATATAATTTTTCCCAAATATTGATATTTACTTCTCTGAATCTTGTCACATGGCTTGACTTAATAGGTCAGAGGTACAGTTGATCAGCCGGTACTTAATGGACACGCATCATTCCACAGGGCATCTATTTCTTCACCAGTGCTACGAAAACCACTTACCAACTTTGGTGGAAATGTTCACGTGCAATCAAACAGGTTATGCATCACCTCACTTGAGAGTAGGGTAAGCAGAAAAGGAAAGCTTCTTGTAAAAGGGAATCTGCCACTCAGAGCAAGTGAAGCAGCCCCAGATGACAAGATTGAATTGAAGTGCGAAGTTTTAGAAGTACGGGCACAAAAAATATTAAGGTTACTTTCATACCTTCTTTGAATTTCTTAAGTTTACTTCTAGACTTGATAATGGATGCAGAGGGGCTCAAGTGACGACTAAATCATAAATATTATTGATTTTTTGAACTGCATCCTCCACCTCCGGCCTTGTTACATATAGTCTCTTTTTAACACAATGCTATTCATTTGACAGTGGTCAGGTTGATTCTCAGTTGCAAATAACTGGTTCAATATTGCAACCGAACATATCTGGGAACATAAAAATAAGTCAGGGAGAAGCATATTTGCCACATGATAAAGGTGGTACTCCTGCTTCTAATAGATTTCCGTCCAATCATTCTGGGCCTCCTACTGCTGGTGTCAGTCGTGTGTTTGCTTCAAGATATGTATCACGATTTCTCAACTCAGAATCTGCTTCTTCAAGGACGACAGTGTCTCAGTCCTCTGGCTCTGGTATTATTATACAGTTTAGCCTGAGTTTTTTCTAATCATTTGGTGATGAATGTTCTGAAATCAGAATGGATTCTCTTGTTATTAATTCAAACTGAGAGGGTCTTGCTTCCATTTCTATATCATTATATTTACCTTGTGAAGTGTGCCCCCACCCCAATGTTTGAAATGTATATATCTCATTGTGAGAGAGGGGGCGTTGGAAGTCCCACATTGACTAGATATAAGGTCAATTTATAGTATATAAGTGAATGCAAATCTCATCTTAAAAACCAGTTTTGTGGGGTTGATTTAAGCTTAAAGTCTACTTCTTAACACAGTAATGAAGGTTGCATTTTAGGACTTACATAGCAATGAAGGCTGTAAAAAAAATCACACAATTAGAGGCTCCCAAGGATCAAGAGGCATTTTAGGGCTTACATAGTGATGAAGGCTGTAAAAAAAATCACACAATTAGAAGCTCCCAAGGATCAAGAGCTCTAATATCTTCTGAAGTTTAAAAGAAAATAATTTCTTTCTTATTCGATCTCATTACATATGTCTAATATACATATACATACATTAATTGGATAAATTTGGAAATAAATGTTAAGAAGTAGACTTTAAGCCTAACTCAACCCCATAAAACCGGCTTGTAAGGTGAGATTTATTATAAATTAGTCTTATCTCTAGTCGATGTGAGACTTCCAACACATCCCCTCACGCCGAGGTAGACATCATCTTGAGCGTGAGACAAAATGGGTGGTCCGATAACGGCCCGATAGCGAGTGGAACAACATGTCCAACAAACAACAAATATCGCTAGGATAGGCTCTAACCATAGCTCTGATACCATGTTAAGGAGTTGACTTTAAGCCTAACTCAACCCCACAAAACCGGCTTCTAAGGTAAGGTTTGCACCCACTTATATATTATAAATTGGCCTTATCTCTAGTCGATGTGGAACTTCCAACACACCCCCTCATGCTGAGGTATAGACATCATCTCGAGCGTGAGATTAGACATTAATGGGTAGTCCGATAATGGCCCGATAGCGTGTGGAACAACATGCCCGACAAACAACAAATATCGCTAGGATAGGCTCTAACCATAGCTCTGATACCATGTTAAGAAGTGGACTTTAAACCTAACTCAATCCCACAAAACAAGCTTGTAAGGTGAGGTTTGCACCCACTTATATATTATAAATTGGCCTTATCTCTAATCGATGTGGGACTTCCAACAATAAGCATTGCCTATTCTAGGTAACAGATCCCAAAGATTGTGGACTTGAAATGCTAGCAATAAAATCAAGATACAACCAATATACGAAATTAAAAATAAAAATAATAGGAATCTATTAAGAAGTGGAACTAGACTTGTGAGTGGTCTTATAGCAGTCCAATAGTGGGTTGAATGATATACCCAACAAACAACAAATATCACTAGGATATGTTCTAACTTAGCTCTGGTACCATGTTAAGAAGTAGATTTTAAGTCTGACTCAACCCCAAAAAACTGGCTTGTACGGTGAGGTTCGTACTCACTTTATATACTATAAATTGGCTTTTAGTCGATGAGGACTTCCAACAGAATCAAATCTAAAACTACCTAAAATATCAATCAACACAAAGTCACTATTGCTGCAACGAATCAAATGTGCTAATCATATGTATTGCTGAGTCAGCTGAATCATGACAAGGGCTAAATAATTTATAAATGACATTTTACACTTTACCATCTCACATATTTCATAATTTGTATCAGGAGAGACCTCAATCATTAATTTGATTCCTTGATCTTCTAGTTTTGCTTATGCTATTCATAATTTTAGTTTAGTTCATTATGTTATATTATTCACAATGGCTGATAGTACATGGATTCATACCTTTCTTTCCTTCAAAAACAACAGTGACGGCTAACAAGTCAACTCAGGTTGAAAAACAGATGGAGCAAGTGCAGATTAAACCAAATGTAGAAATCTGTCTCAATGATTTGAAGCTTGTTCTTGGACCAGAGTTGAAGATAGTTTATCCTTTGATTCTTAATTTCAGTGTAAGTGGAGAGCTTGAGTTAAATGGTCGGGCCCATCCCAAATGGATAAAACCTAGAGGCATACTAACATTTGAGAATGGTGAAGTCGATCTAGTTGCAACACAGGTATATGTAACATTTTCTTTTTGCAACTCGTGCAAATTGTGCACTTCGGTGTGGTTTCTTTGAGGCTAGTTTTCTTTTGGTTTGTCTTGGGTATTTATTAACACATTCTTCACGTTCATACTATCCTTTTGAAATGCAGGTGAGACTAAATCGAGAGCACTTAAACATTGCAAAATTTGAGCCTGAGTATGGACTAGATCCTATGCTTGATTTAGCTTTGGTGGGATCTGAGTGGCAGTTCAGAATTCAAGGTAGAGCTAGCAATTGGCAGGACAAACTTGTGGTGACCTCAACTCGTTCTATGGAACAGGATGCACTCTCACCCACTGAGGTAAACATGCTGTTGTAAATAGAAAACTATTAGGGTAAAAATATCCCCAATATCTCCATTGTGATTAGGTGAAAATATCTTTAGAATCTTCCAATTCATTCAACATTCTTTTATTTCCTTATTTTAAAGAGATTGATTATGACAGATTGATGTGATGAGAATGTAATTGGTTGTGATTTTTCTCTATAAAATAATTAATTGTTTCCTTGTATAGTTAAAGTTGGTATTAGAGCCTTCAATCTTTTGAAGGTACGACGCTGTTTGCCATCACTGTTGTCACTGTTTGCCATCACTGTTGTGGTAATAGATGTGCCAGAAAGGTACAACCCACATTGGCAATCACAATGCCAATAGTTGTGTTATCACACTAAGTCCCACACCACCAATAGTGTTGGTGTGTGCGGCCCATGTGCCTTACTTTGATGAAGCCCACTTGCTGCCCCCACAACAAATAGGGTTGTTCAGACTCTTGAGCCCATTTCAAGGACTAGTAGCATTTCATTTGACTTCGATTTGAGTATATTATTTAGTTTTCTTTGTTTCAAGAGAGTAACACCGGTACCCTTTTTGAAGTCATGAATAACCTAAGAAGACACATTTGATAACATGAGCAAAAAGTTTGTCTAACCCTAGAGACATGTCATGAACAAAGTATACACAACCAAAAACTCAAGGAGAAATGTGAAAGAGAGGATCATTTGGAAACAGAATGGAGAAAGGAACGTTATGATTGAGAGAGGATGGCATCCTATTAAGAAGAAAACATGCAATTAAGATGACATCCCCTAGTGATGGACGGGAATATGGGCACCAAGCAAAAGCGTAGGAGCAGTTTCAGTCAAGTATCTATTTTTTCTTTTTGCTATACAATTTTTGTTATAGTGTATGAGGACAAGTGGACTGATGTAATATACCATGTGAACTCAAAACTATAGAAAAAGTGGATGAGAAGTACTCTTTGGCATTGTCATTTAAGATTTTGATTACTTGACCAATTTGATTTTATATTTTTGATTTCATTCAAAAAGAGATGTGAAGATGGGTAACAATTCAACACAATCTTTCATAAGATAAACCCAAGTACATCTCAAATATTCATCAATAAACATGACAAAATACCTAAAACCAAAATGAGACACAACTAGGTCCCTAGATATTAGAATGGATAATAGAGAAACTATAATTAATAGAGAAACAAAATTGAGAACCACAAATGAAATGAAAACATGAGGAACCTACCCCTCAAATGGTTTTATTCAGCTATGAAGTTTGTCAGACTCCTTTCTCCTACAATATCAAATCCTTACTCTTTCTGTTCTAAGTGAATCCTTGATCATTAGTTCTGAAATAAAAATGTGGTTTCTTTTATTATTGTTATTATTATTTGACTTTCCAAATTCATATTTCTTTAACATTAATATTAGTAAATCAAATATATTCAACTATAAGAAAACAATTTAATTTATCTCAGAAATTGCTAACATAATGGAATCATGTAATGTGTTGGTCATTTTCATGATATAGGAACTAACTTTTGGATATTCAATCTATTTCATATCTGATCATCTAAGAGAAATACATAATTTGAAATCTTAAAAGTTCATATCCTTACTTGTATTATGTTAGTATTAGATTAGGTCCTTAAGCTGATTTATGTCTCAATCTTCTGTTGGTAGAGAACACTTGGAGCCTAGGATTGTTATGTGGATTGTTAGAGATTTGTGAGTGTTAATGTGAATTATTTCTGTTGTAATTTGAGATAATATCTTTAGAATCTTCCTAATTAGAGAAAATAGATATATAATCTTTTATTTTATTTTATTTTCCTAGTTTCCTATTTCCCTTTTTTTGGAGAATTAGATTATTACAAATAGAGGGTATCAGAATGTATTTTTTATGATTAAGAATAATAAATCAGTCTTATTTTCAACTTGGTATCAGAGCCTATCTGATCTGTTTCCGCTGTCTTTGCTATTTGTCGGCGGTCGGCCGCCATGGCCACCGGCGGCCCCCTAAAAGTCTCTTCTTTAACATGTGTTTTTAATGGGCTCCAATTGTCCTAGTCAAGTTCTGCCTTAGAATTCTGGCCTTTTTTCCAATATTACCAAATACAGAGATTGTTTGAGTATGATCAGAATGGGATTCAAACTCATTCCCTCTCGGACCAGTAGCTGAAACTGGTGATTTAGATTTGTTGATGCCCAATCAATTTTGGCTCCTTTTGGCATTCTTGTTGACCGAAAGTCTCTTCTTCGAAAAACCCAAGAAAGGCCATTGCCTTCGCTGCTTACTCCGCTGTGCACCACCGCTCTCCGTGGCCGGTCACCATCCGCTGTCGACCTCCGTACATCGCCGGCTACTGTCCGCCGCCGGTCACCATCGCAGTTCCGACCGATGACCAGCGGATCTGGATCGTCTCTTCGAGCACGACCTAACCCTGGTGGTCGACGTCTCAGACTCCTCCGCACATGCCGTCACGCGCCTTCTCTCTCCGTCAAATCTCGTGTGTGTTTGTCACGCGCCGCTGTTCCGTTGTCGGAATAACACTACTCCGCTTCCGTTGTTCTGTTCTTACTATTCGCTGCAAGCTTCATTCGTTTTTTGTTTCTCGAGCAACAGTGCTTTGTCTCCGCTGCTGATGTCACTAATGCGCCAACTCCTAGTACTACTTCTCCCGCTTTCGTCATCTTCTTCTCCATTGAGAAGGGTTCTCTGCCTTCACGAGCTTTCTGCCACCACCAATGGGTTTCTTTTTCCTCTTTCTTTTTTGGCACTGATTGGTCCTTCTTGCCGACATCTCCTCCGCTTGTGCCGCCGAATGCACCGGCACTTGTGGCCAAGCCTGTCTCCACCATCTGGTTACAATTTCGTGATTCTCTCTTGCAAGTGTGATGTCCCCATTGGCCTATGGCATGAAGGAGAGTCTATTTCTGTAGCTGTGATGTTCCATTCAACAATTCATTAGCCTTGTTGGCGGGTGCTTTAATGTCGTTGTTCCTGCAGTCAGTTGTTGTAACCTCTGCAGATTGTCACTGCTGCCTCAATAAGCTGCCGCAATAAGCTGTCGCATTTTCTTTGGTCAAAATTAAGAGTGTCTCGTGAAGTGCATTAGTCGTCGTTTTTGCTGTTTGCCGTGAGGGGAAATATTTTTCAGCCCCTGCAGAGAACTTTCTTATTGGGCTAGAGTTTAGCTCGTACTTTTGTGATACAGTGTAAGTATCACCATTTGGGAGTAGTCCAGTAGAGAACTTAGGACCTCCAAAGTGTCTTCGATATTTGGTGTTTCTTGGTTTCTACCATCACTAATGTGAAAGGCTTTCTTCATCATCAATGCTTTGTTATAACAGCTCATTGAGAGTTGTTCTTTGAGACCGCCCGCTGAATTGACTCTTTCGAAGTTATGGGATTCAGATTTGTCCATTGTACGGATCGGTTCTCACCAGTTGTGCCACCTACATGTTCTGTTGTTCAGTCATGAGGAGGAGAAAGTTCCAGCCACTACAGGGTAGTGTAGTCCCTGCAGGTCTGTTGTTGTTAGCCTCTGCAGGACAGATGTTTCCTGAAGGCTTCTTGTTGTTCAGGGCAGTTAAGTCCCTGAAGGTTTGTTGTTGTTTAGGGTAGTTAAGTCCCTACAGGTTTATGGCTGCTAGCCTTTTAGTTCCCGCCGCTGCAGGGTAGTGTAGTCCCTGCAGGTTTGTTGTTGTTAGCCTCTGTAGGACAGTTGTTTCCTGAAGGCTTGTTTTTGTTCAGGGCAGTTAAGTCCCTGAAGGTTTGTTTCTGTTTAGGGTAGTTAAGTCCCTACATATTTGTGGTTGTTAGCCTTTGAAGGTCTCCCATATGTTACTCATGGAAATCATGTTCTTTAAGTTTTGTTGTTGTTTGCCACTATTAGGCAATCCAGTTCCTGCAGTTTGTTGTTGTTCGCCATTGGAGGCCCTTCATCTGTTCTTGTAGTTTGTTGTTGTTTGTTGTTGCAAGTCATCATCCATTTTTTATGGAAATCTCTCTTGTCCATTGCTGTCCAAGTTGAAGTTTCATGGTGCTAGTTCGCCCTCGTCCATTGCTGTCTAAGTTGAAGTTTCATGGTGCTAGTTCGCCCTCGTCCATTGTTGTCCAAGTTGAAGTTTCATTGTGCTAGTTCGCTTTTGTCCATTGTAGTCCAATTTGGTTTATTGACGTTCTCTACAATTGAGTTTGACTACTATTCCAAGCTTGGTTCATACAATCTTGTATGATCCAGCTTGAGGGGGAGTGTTGTAATTTGAGATAATATCTTTAGAATCTTCCTAATTAGAGGAAATAGATATATAATCTTTTATTTTATTTTATTTTCCTAGTTTCCCTATTTTTCTTTTTAGGAGAATTAGATTATTACAAATAGACGGTATTAGAATGTATTTTTTATGATCGAGAATAATAAATGAGTCTTATCTTCAACTATTTCATCTGTGAAAATCAGCATCTTTGTGATTTGATTTTCAGGAAGACTGGTTCTATTAATTGTTTTTAACTATACAGGCTGCCAGAAGGTTTGAGAGTCAGTTGGCTGAATCCATTTTGGAAGGCAATGGTCAGCTTGCTTTTGAAAAGCTTGCAACTGCAACTCTGGAAAAATTAATGCCACGAATAGAAGGGAAGGGCGAGTTTGGCCAGGCTAGGTGGAGACTAGTATATGCACCTCAGATACCCAGTTTAGTTTCTGTTGATCCTACAGCAGATCCTCTCAAGTCACTTGCCAGTAATATATCGTTTGGTACAGAAGTTGAAGTTCAGCTTGGTAAACGTCTTCAGGTAATCATAAGAAAACAAGTTAACTCTCAAATCCTTGCTTCCCATCACCATTTTTACAGTTAATTATAATTTACTTGTGTAAATCAATTGAAAATCTGTATTAAATATCAATAGAGGGGGAAAATTAGCTTTGACATTCTTTAATATATATATATATATATATATACATATATATATATATATATATATATATAGCAATAGATGATACCTTTAAATGGGTTTCAGATGACAACTCTTTTCTAACCGTGATGAAATTATAAGTACAAAACAACAAATGTCATTTTATGAATAACAAATGCTTAGTTACTCGTTAATCACTCTGAACATTGTTAATGCTAAGTGGTTTCTGCATTGTTCACTTTATTGTTTCTAAACTAAATACCTTTTTGCAACATTTATTTTTACAATCTAAATATAATAATAATTCGATTAGGGAGATGTTTGATTTCCATTAAGTACACATTCTAAAGTAGAAGCATATCATTCAAATTAGGGAGATGTATTTGTTAGTTTCTACATCATATAGAAGCATCTATTATTTGTTTTATGGTGAAATCTTAAATACTTTAATTTTCACTAAGAACCTGTGCCAATGTTAAAGCTGAAGGTTCCTGCTATCATTTTTCTTTCAGGCCACCATTGTTAGGCAAATGAAGGAGTCTGAGATGGCAATGCAATGGACACTGAGCTATCTTCTTACAAGTCGTTTGCGAGTGCTCCTCCAATCTGCTCCATCTAAACGCCTTCTCTTTGAATACTCTGCTACATCCCAAGATTGAGCTGCATCCAATTAATATTTGCAACTACATCCCTCACACCAACCCATCCACCCACCCAACCACAGAACTGCATCACTGTTAATAGTAGAAAAGAGGAAATGTGTTCTGAAACCATTGTTAAAAAGAACAGCTTAAACACACTTCAAATTTTTTCCCTTGCATATTATGTGAGGGAAGGGGGTCTTTGGGATGCTTTTTGAATGTGAAAAAGGTAGTATAGATGCATATTTTTTGCTCAAATTGAGCCTGTTTATATGTAGATGCTTAATTCATGAATATTTCAGCCAGTAGTTTTGTACATAAATTCAACTTCAATGAAAGTATTATAGCATATTGTTTGACACATGAAGCTAAGAAGCATGCTTTTGCTTTGCTTTCTGTATCCGAATCATCAAACTAACTTGCATCCCTAATTGTCCAATTTATTCTCTCGATTGCGTTAGCTGGTAGATTTGATAATTTCACAATGAGTTTGTTTGAGAGTGTGTAAGCAGTGTCAATCTATGCAAGTATTATCGCTGTTAGTCTCAATGGTAGACACTGGTAAAAAACTGTTACTATTGGAGAGTAATATTAAAAGATTCGGTACTATTATTTGGATACTTAACAAATTTTTAAACACACTTTACAGCTACTATTTTTCCTCTTAACTCTCTTTCTTTACAAATACATCAATTAACTTTTCTAATGACCAAAAGATTCTTAAAAATGAGTTATTAACTAGTGCCAGAGGTGTCAAAAAAACATTTTCCGTTACTTTTGTTATAACATCTTTTATGGAAAGTTAGTGCGTCAGAAATAGTTTTGCAATATGTCGTTTTGTACCGGGGTGGGGATAATAGAATTACTTTTATGGAAATGAGTGAAGAAAAGTAGAATTGAAAGAAAAAATAAAATTGGGAAATTGGTAACTTAGAAATAGGGATGGCAAAAAGGTTGAATTCAACAATCCGGTCAAAAAAAAGCAGGTTGGGACGACTTCTTCACAGTCCGACACAGTCTGTCTCGACCAATTCGACAGGCTAATTTGACAATCCAGCATCATTAAAAAAACTAAGGTAAAGAACTCGTCCTCACTTAACCTAGCATGTCAGTATTAAAAAAACTAAATATAAAGAACTCGCACAGCCTGACAGGGATGTTATATTCAAATAAGTGATAAATTATATAATGTATGAATATATTTTGATATTATGGAAAATTCAAATGCATGCATGGATGTTATATTAAAAAAAGTGATAGATTATTCAAATGTAATATGACATCAGCCCAACAATTCATCTGACAACTCGGCATAAATCCATTATTAAGTGGCAGACTAGTCCAATTCAACCCACTTTCTACATATCAAAGTCAAGTCAGACTTAAACAAGGTTAATCTGTGTCGCCACCCCTACTTAGAAACTGAGTTATCGCTTATCGAGGTACTGAGAAAGAACCGTGACCTCTTCTCTGGACTACGACGGACATGCTGTGAATTCACCATTTCGTCATGTCGCACAAACTGGCGCTCTTCAAGGAGGTACCACTGGTCGCACAGAAAAAGCGACGGCTAAGGGAAGAAAAGCAAAAGAGTTTAAAGGCATAAGTCAACAAGCTAAAGGAAGCGGGAATTGTGCGAGAGATCACGTATACCATATGGATGACTAACATGGTTATGATAAAGAAACTGGCCAGACAATTGCAAATGTGCAGCGATTACACAGATCTTATTCAAGCCAGTCCCAAAGACACCTACCCGTTACCCAACATGGATGGTCTAGTTGACAGAGCCTCGGAACAAAAAATCCTGAGTTTTCTGGATGTTTATTCAAGATACAATCAAATCACAATATACCAGTCGGACCAGGCCAAGACTGTCTTTATCATCGAGCGGTCTAATTTCTGCTGCGAAGTTATGTCGTTTAGCTTAGGCTTAATACTCTGTTTTATCCCCAGTTTCGCTCAAAAATGTCAAATTAGTCCATCCTTTAAAAAATGTGTCAATTACGTCCTCACTTAATAAAATTTGCATGAATGAAATCTCTTCCGTTAAATCCGTAAAAACGACGTTAATTATTTTTCTCTCTTATTAAGTAACGCCGTTTGTACGGATTTAACGGAAGGGATTTCATTGATGCAAATTTTATTAAGTGAGGACGTAATTGACGCATTTTTTAAAGGATGGACTAATTTGACATTTTCGAGTGAAACTGGGGACAAAATAGGGTATTAAGCCTTTAGCTTAAAACATGCAGGAGCAACATATTAGAGGCTTATGGACAAAGTCTTTCGCGAGCAGATCGGGCAGTTCATGGAGGTATATGTGGACTATATATTAGTACGCTCTAAGTCCACCAAGGACCACGTGAAGGACTTGGAAGAGGTATTCGGCCAAGTCAGACGATTCAACATGAGGTTAAACCCGTCCAAGTACACGTTCAGTGTGGGAGTGGGTAAGTTCTTGGGTTTCATGCTAACTTCCCGAGGAATTGAGGCAAACCTGGACAAGTGCGCAACCATCCAAGAGATGCGAAGCCCACAAACCCTGAAGGAAGCCAGTGTCTGGTTAGACGGATGACTTCACTCTCCCGATTCATTCCTAAGTTGGTTGAACGCATTGCGCCTATTTTGAATAAGATGAAGAAGGATTCTACCGAGAAGTGGGACGAACAATGTGAAGCTCTGTTCGTAGAGGTCAAAGCCATCCTGGCTAGCCCACCAGTCATGGTCTGCTCAGTCAAGAATCAAGAGTTATAGCTCTACCTAACGGTAGCCGAAGAGGCCGTCAACGCAGCTTTAGTCCAAGAAAACCTAGACCCTAAGCTTATTTACGTCATCAGTAGAGTTCTTCAAGGTCCGAAGACCAGGTATCAACAAGTGGAGAAGGTAGCCTTAGCGCTACTCACCGTAGCCAGGCGTCTAAGGCCACACTTTCAAAGTCATCAAGTGGTCGTCTACATAGACCACCTCATCGCAAAAATCTTTCGTAAGCCAGACCTAACCGAACAGATGGTGGGATGGGCAGTAACGTTATCGAAGTTCGATCTGCGATTCGAGTTAAGAGGCTCAGTCAAAGGACAACAACTAGCGAAGTTCGCTGAACTGACTTTACTAAGTGACCTTTCCAACTTTGTTTGGAAGTTATTTGTTGACGAATCATTCGATAAGAGGGGGGAGGAGCTAATGTGGTCTTAGAAGGCCCGAATGGTCTAACAATCGAACACTCCCTCATTTTCAAGTTTAAAGTTTCAAATAAACAAGCGGAGTATGGGGCCTTGGTGGTTGGCCTAGACCTCACCAGAGATGCCGGAGCAAAGTATATCGTGTGTCGGATGGACTCCCAATTGGTTGCAGGCCAGATGAATGGGAAGTTTCAGGTCAAGGACGACCAGTTACTGCAATACTTTCACAAAGCTATTGGCCTTGTCAAGGCATTTAACTTTGTGGAAATCAAACACATCCCAAAGGAGGAGAATACACGGGCGGACTCGTTGTTCAAACTAACATCCAACAAAGAGAAAGGACAGTTGTCCACTGTGATTAGGCATGTGTTGTTAAAGCCATCGATGGAATGCATGATGACGACCGCTCTCAAAAGAGAAGACTAGAGGATGAAAATAAAGGAATGAATGAGAAAACAAGATGGTGGCGAGGCAATACGCCCAACAGAGGCAAAGAAAATCGCACGGTTTGTTCTCATAGGAGAGCAACTGTATTGAAGAGGCTTCTCATCCCCACTCCTCAAGTGCCTCTCAAGAGAAGAGGCTCAATACATGCTTGACTAATTGCATAATGTTGTTTGTGAATTCCACATTGGTCGCCGCACGCTCAAGGCCCGAGCAATCTGCACAATGTACAATTGGCCCACAATGTCAGCCTTACCAGACAAACACTCGCACTTGAAAATAAATCTAACAACAAATCAATTAGTGGGAACGAAATTGCATGGTTAATAACCACGTCGAACGAAAGTAACTTGCAAAAGTAATAAATATTGGACAACCTAGAATTCAAACTGAAGCAAATCTATTTAATGTTAAAATGAGGGTATACAAAATGTTTTGAGCGATTAGCGAAGCAAACACCTTACAAAAGGCCTTAGTGTTTGTCATCTGGTTACCATCAAAAGAAGAAAAAATAAAAACAAGTAAAAGGAATACCCCACTCCTTATTCTACCAAAACTACTACTCCTCCGCGGTCCGATCGTCCCCACCATCGGTCGGTATCTCCTCCCGCTCGCACTCCCCCAACCGCACCCTCTAAGTTGATCACGTCGATATCCTCTTCCAAGATATTTTCAATAGCGAAAAGACATCCTTCATCATATCGAATCTCACGGTGGCAGTGCCAATATTGAACAGCAGGGCTGCCTGCCGGAGGGCCTCATCAAAGCCCTCCTCATGCTCGGTCATGATGGTGGTGTTCATCTCCTCCATCCGTCCCTCCAACCTTTAACTCGAGCTTTAACTATCAGGTTCTTCTTGACTAGCTCCACCTTTTCACCAAGGAGCTTAGAGTTTTGACCAGAGACTTCGTTCAGAACGGTCTTTAGCCTCCAACACTCCCCGGCAATCTTGTCACCCTTAGCCAGGAGTAGCTCGGCCTTGTCCCCAGCCTCCTTCCCGACGTGGCGCAAAAGTAACCCAGCATCCTATTGGATCTTCTCACACTCCTTGTCTGTCGAGGCAACTTCCGTCAGCTCGTCATGCAAGCCGACGATGATCTTCTAAGTTTTCGCCAGTACGACTTGGACTTCCTCTGTTGACCTCTTATCAGTGAAATTGGCCAAGTACCAATTCAACATCGACACACGGTCGGTCAGCTCGAAAGCAAAGTTCTCCATCTATTTCTCAGTCATCACACCGAGAAGATTACGCTCGTCAATGTTCATATGAAAGTTAATCTTTCGGCCGATCCGCAACTCTGTACCAAAAATCCCCCCATGTATAGGTCGGGGGGCGCCCCCTTCACAACAGCTCCTCTTGTGAGAGGATGACTTCTCCCCCTCCCGGTGAGATCGTCCCCTTGTCAACGGGGGAGGAGGAGGGAGAGTGACGACCGGAGATGGTTGATCAAGCTCTACCACCAACGTAGAGCGAGGAGTTCCACTGCGAGAAATCGTTTGGAGAGGTGGGGGACACTTATTTTTCTGAGGCACCTGGGCGGCCTGGCTGGACGCAGCCGAGCGGGGTTCCCAAGCCTTGGAGGCATCAACACCAATCTTGAGCTTGGCAATAGCGACAACTTCTTTGAAAAAAAATTTCTTTTTTGGCGTAGGAACGAACATTATGGCTGAAATAAAATAAAAAACTTAGTCAAATTAAGACCAATCACTTAATAAAACCACAAAAGACATCATA